TCGTTGAAGCTATTAGTTATGATAAAACCTACCTGCACATCTCACAATGAAATACCTTATAATTTTTTTATCAAGACTAAAAGTTATGCGATATCAGGAAGTAATTACATATTGTAACAAACTTTATCAGCCAATTTCTGAGAAATATTAGCATTTGGATTATTAATTAATTTGATTTAATTTAAATTAGTCTTTTTGGATGTAGAGTCTCCTATACCAAAATTATTTAAATGTTTCTCAATTTCCTTAAAGCTATTGGTTTGAACAGTCATAAAATAAATACTATTAGAATGCAAAATGACAATTTACCTTTTGGTCTTTCTTGAGGTAATAGCTAGATTGATTTGAGGAAATATTTTTTTACATTTTAAACAAATAAATTTGAAACTAGTTTTGGTTTTTATATTTATTTTAAAAAATTTCTAGGGAATGTGAAATTTATTATAGCTGAACATTTTCATCCCTGGTATATTCCATTTCATTAATATCATTGTCTGAATCACTTTCAATGATTTGGATATCCATAGGCGATGACATTTCAAATTATTAAAGAGATTTAGGTTAATAATACAAATGAAAATATAATTACAAATATATTTCAATTTCAAAATTAAATACAATTAATATTATATTTAAATTTTTATGTTTATACTTACCTTCATTATATTTTTTAAAAGTCTAAGTAGCGGACTTAATTACAAAAAAGTAGCCGCTATAGCTAACAAAAAATTTCACTACTTTAACATCTCTGGTTTTAAGTCATATGTGCCCCTTTTCAATCTAAATATGTAGGATAAAGGGCATTATTCTTTTGCAAAGAGGCACTGTGGACCAAAATTACTGTATATAATAATTTTAACATTAAACAAGAAAAAATTTATCATTAGATTTATACTAGTCTAATTTTTATACAATCAAAGTTTCAATTTCTGTGTCATTTATTTTTAAAAAAAATAAACAACCAAATGAATGGGTTAATACATCATAATAAACTTTAATTTCACCAATAAAATACTTACATAAACATAAAATTTACACAAGTACGATATTATGAAGTGTTATAAAAATTTCTGCAACAATAATTAAAACATATTTAAATTTTGCACAAAATCAAAAATTCAGTTATTTATAAATTTTCATATATAATCCATTTTCAAGAGAATGTAAAATTCAGTGGAAGCTATGATAATGGCGCTAATAAGACCACTCAAGAGTTGACAAACTAAGCATTTACCATCTGAAAGGTAACGAAAAGCTAGGAAGGCAAAAGCAAAGGTACCAACTATGCTAAAAATATAGTTCATGATCACAAATATATCGTTTGATATAAACTTGGGATTGATGTCTTTATAAGTTTCAGGGGGCAATATATTTTTGACCATACTCTTATACCGAGAATTTTCTATTTCATTTCTCATTTTTGTCATTCTTTTTTGATAGTTATCGTTGGATTTACTATCTTTTTCTTTGTTGCCCTCATGTAATTTTTCTCCCAAAGATGACATAGCATTACATTTTAGAGAAGAACTTTGAATTAGATGATGCAAGTGAGTTTTTACTGTGAGAGGATTAGAACAAGTATCACATTTGCTACCGTGATATATTTCAAGAAGAGTTTTATAAGGTATTCTTTGTAGAGAATAGGAATTATCATCTATATTCATTTTATTTGTAGCAAATATTAAGGATTGAATATGTGTTAATGTTCTGATCTCCAGATTAAGATGAGGACATTTGAGAATCTCCTCAAAATAATTAAACATAAAAGGCGTTACTTCAAAATTTAAAATCATTTTATAAAAAAGATAAAAGTTGTACCTATAAAACAAAAAAAGGGATGTAAAAAAAGCAAAATTTATCAGAATATAATTGGGGTGGGATTATCTTAAAATTAAAAGTGATAAAAAAATCAAATCTTGGTTATTTCACACCTTCATTAACTTTTCGACAATTTTTTCCACCGATGATTTATCCTTTTCTAAATTATTCACCAATGTTTTGGAGTGTTGTATCCGTGTTTCTAGTTCGGTTCGGAGTTCTTTTTTGGGAGTGTGTAAATAAAATTTTCCAACAGCCAAGTATAAATTGGTTGAGCTGGTGAGGGGAGCTATTTCTTGCAAGGTTAATTCCTCACTTTGTATATTGTAATTTGCGATGTTGATTGCATTTATTATTTCATTCAATTTTTGTTTGAGCACCAATTTCCTTTCGTAATCTTTGATTTCCAAGTTCATAATCAAGTAAAGGGATTTGTGCCTGTCTGGATTAGTAAAATTTCAACTTAATTATTTTTATAAATAATAAAATGATAAATTGTCTATAAAAACTAAAAAGATAAATAAATTTGTTGCAGTATTAGCATTTTCTAAAAATGGTTTTCTCTTAAATAATTACATTATTACAATTACCATTTTTACATATTTTTATATATTATATTTAAGACAAACTCAATTTAAATATTATTAAAATTTTAAAATTCCAAAAAAACCTTTATTTTTATAAAAAATAAAACCAAGCTGAAACCTTCTAAAATTTAATCAGTTAAATCATAGCCAAACCATAAACTTTTTAATCCTTTGCCACTAAACTATAGCATTTTATTCAGATGACTGCTATTTTTATATGATTTACCATATTTAAAATGAATGTTTATTAAATATAATGTTTCATTACATCAAGTGATTCATTACAACAAGATAAGTCAAATAAAAATTTACAAGACCCAAATTTATTTATCAATCATCTAAAATTTATATATAAATATAAAATTTAATGTCCTTGATTTGTTTTTGTATTAAAAATTTATTGATACGGAAAAATTTCTAACACAAAATAATATAACCCATTTCAGAAAAAAAATGTAAAGGTTATATAGAAAATTTAAACGTATTTATGCTATAATGAACATTAGTAAATATATTATATTTATACCTAATTTCTATTTACCCGAATCTATGAAGGAAAAATGAAAAATTTTAAATCTTATCTTATTTAGCACGTTTGCCATACACCTGCCCAAAATGAGCAAATGTGAATCTATAAAGGCCCACCCGTCATAAAATTATAGTGCGCACAAATTGAGCGTTTCAAACGCTGCGTTGCAAACGCAATTAATGCATTTTGAATGCATTCGTTTAAATTGAGCACTTTTACTTTTTTCAAACGCGCCAATTTTAAAAAACGCAATCTGGTTTGCTTTTTTGATAACTTTTTTTTATAAAACAAACATTTTGATACGATAAAATATGGATATTCCTTCTAAAATGTAAGAAATATGATACATTTTTAAATATTAATATATAAATTTATATTTTAAAAATGAAATTCAATATAATCTTAATTAATAATATAAATATAGAGCATGGGATGACAATATAACCAAAAAATTTCTTAGCAATTTAGAAATGGAAGAGATAATCTGGAACCAACAACATCCAGATCATAAAAAGACCATGCTGGTGATGGAGAATTTAACTAAAATCGGGTCTAGGTATAAATAATAAATATCAATATGTATGCCTACATTTATTTAAGGTTAGAAGAAGATTTTCCTGAATATGATACGTCATGTCTCTGTTTAAAGAAGAAGATAAAGAATTATAAAGATCAGCTTAATAAAATTAAGCTGGCAAAAAAAAGTGGGTCAGAAGCTTCCAAGTCTTCATATAAATGGTTGGAGCATATTAAATTTATGGAGCCAACCATTGCTGACAGGCCAACAACCAGTAATTTTGATACTAGTGAGAGTATCAAAAAGATATCATTTCCTAGTCAAAAATTGGAAGATAGGTTGTTGGAGCTATTAGATAAGAAACCTTCTTCAAATAGGTAAAATTTATTATTATCTTTAAAAGCTTATATTTTATCTAGGTTGTATCTACAACCATTGGAAGCAGATCTTGATGCTCTAGATATACATAGGCAGTATCTTTTTAAATCTGAGGTTATGAAATTCATGTATTCCTTACATACAAATTATTTAAAACCATTGGAACCAATGGTGGACAATATTGAAACTCCACTTGATATTTTTAATAGTATTATAGATTGAATTATATTTGTATATATATATATATACATTCTTTGTATATATATATATTTTTTATAAATATTATGATATTATTTGTATATATTTATTTTTATAAATATTATGATATTATTTTTAAAATAAATATTCATAAAGTTTTTATTTATTAAAATAGTGTCCTAATTATTAATAAAGATTGAAAAATTAGAATTAAATTCTATTTTATATTAATACAATCAATTTCATATTTGATATAATTAACAATCACATATATATAAATAATTAAGAGTTTAAAAAATTTTAAAATTTGTCTCTTAAAATTTCTTATATAATTGTTGATGAATAGTTTTGTCTGTCTCTGCTAATAGAGAATGGTTTAGTGGTCAGATTATGAAATGTATCTACTATATATATAATGAAAAATAGATTTATTAAAATATATATTAATAAATAACTCATTAAATATTCATTTTTTTATTAAATTTTTTGTCAAATAAATTATGTGATTTAATGTTTAAAAATTTAAACACAATTTTTATTATATAAATATATTTATTAAATAATATTCTAAATAATAACAATCAATATCATATTTGATATAATTAACAATCACATATATATAAATAATTAAGAGTTTAAAAAATTATTAAATTTGTCTCTTAAAATTCTAGATTCAATTGTTGAAGAATTGTTTTGTCTGTCTTTGCTGATGGGGAGTGGTCTAGTGGTCAGATTAGGCATTGTATCTTTTAAATGTAATGAAAATAAAATACTACAATATTTGTTGTACCTATGTCATCAACTTCAGCACCTATTCCTTAATTGCTTATTATTATATTATGCAGAAGGCATATAGTCTTGACAATAATTTCTATATGCTCCAAACTAACTTCTATAGGTTTGCTGAGAATTTCAAATTTTTTTACAATGCCTCCAAAGCTTCGTTCAACACTAACCCGAGCATGTGATAATCTCATATTAAATTCCTTTCCTCTATAGATAGACCTTTTATAGGATAGGGTTTCATCAAATAATGTGACAGTGGAAAAGCGTCGTCTGCTACCATTACATAAGGCATATTTTCACTAAGGCCAGGAAAAGGTTTGGCAGGTGGTAGATCAAGAGTCTGGTTAACAATTTCTGCAATTTTTTTTAAATATAATTAATTTAATTAGTTAAAATTCATTTTAATCTAACCTCTATACAGGGAGCTATTTTTAAACACTCCCCCATCACTCTGCTTTCCATAGGCCCCAACATCAATATATAGGAATTTTCTATTTATGTCTGTTAAGGCTAACAAAACTAAAGTAAATCTATGTTTATAACAAAAATATTGAGATCCACTATTTGGAGGACATTTTATATAGATATGTTTTCCATCCAAGGCACCAAAACAATTGGGAAACCCTGAATGAAGCAGGAAATCTTGTGAAATCTAAATAATTATATATTAAATTAGAATATATAAATTTAAGGTACTCTTTCCCAATCCTTTCTTGAAGGTTTTGGCATGTAAATATCTTTTGCTGCATTCCAAATTGCCCTGCATACTGATATAACTATATATGCAACACATGATTTTGATATCCTTGAACTGTATGATAGTTGTGAAAATGACATACCAGTTATCAAATATCTTTTATGAATAAATATAGGATAATTAAAAAATTATTACCTTAAGGTGAGGAATAGCCTATCCTCTGCATCGACTTGCTTATTGCAGTTAGTAGTTTTAGGATTGATGTCATTAAATATCAAATTAAGAATATGATAGAATGTAGTTCTCTTCATTCTTGTATAATTAAAGAACTGAGATGTTGTTAAGTCACCTTTCAGTGTAACATACTCAGAAAATAATTGTCTTTTAATAAATATTTGCGATGTTTTACCTCTACTTTTCCTCCTTTTTTTATGTTTTAACAATAAACATAATGCTACCATCTTTTCCTGATCTGTGCTAATAAATTCCATTTTTTAATAAATAATTTAAAAACGCCAACTCAATTTAAACATAGCAAGCGTTACGTTTAAAAAAAGTACGGCAAAACGCAAACGCTCAATTTGTGCGCACTATTATGCTGATTTTTTTTTCTTAAGGATAACTACCAACAAAGCTTGTACTCAGTTGTTAACAAAAATAAGTGGGGTGGCCTGGAATTAATAATGATATTATCGAAGTAAAAGAATGCAAATCATGTAACATTTGGGCCAATAATCCCATTAATACACAGCATCCTTGGATGTTAACTACGAAACCATTCGAAAGAATACACATTGACTACTCTGGGTCATTTTTTAACAAGTACTGGTTGCTTATAGTAGATGCGTACAGTAAGTTTCCTATAATCACGCCGGTGAAATCAATAACCTCGGAATTTACAATAAAAGAATTGATGAAAACAATAAGCTTATTTGGTATTCCAGAACAAATTGTATCAGATAACGGCTCAAACTATTCAAAAAATTTTGTAGAGACCATGATATACATCACTTTCAGACTTCAGCTCACCAGCAACAGTCAAACGGGCAAGTTGAAAGAAGAACCTTTAAATCACATATGAAAAAGTGCATGGAACAAAATAACATGGACATAGATATCGCTTTGGAGAAATTTTTGTTCAATTATAGAAACACGCCAAACAGTACGACTGGCATTCCATCAAGAAAACTCATGTTCAATTGGGATTTATAAAATAAAAGGAAGACGACGACAACACTTCGTTCACTACTTTACCAAAAAATAGAACGATGAACATTGGAGAAAAAATTTGGTATAGAAATTTTGGAGTAAACAAGTGGGATGAAGGCGTAATAGTTAAAAAAGAAAGTAATATGTTATTTCTAATTCAAACGAAAAATGGTATAGTAGGAGCACTTAGACCAACTTAAGAAAAGATTTACCACTGATGAAGTATTAATTCATGACCCAAATACTTTACCAACGATTACATTTTACAAGAAGAGAAATATTACTGAACAAGAAAAAGAGTGTACAGCCGACATTACGAGGCCTAGCCGGAATAGAACATTACCCGCACGATATCAAGATTATATTTTGAACATAAAAGATTCACATATTTGAGTAGAGTTTTTTTTTAAGGAGTGAAATGTTGTGATGTCCAAATTAATCGATATCTATTAACTAATCGCGATCTATTAAATAAAAGATTGATTTTTTTTTATTCTTTATATTATATTAACTTTAACCTCGCGGACTCGTTTTATAAAATTAACTCAATAATTCGACATAAATTACTTGATAGATTTTGTAAACTATATAAACTTAGAAAATTATTGTACTTAAAAGTTAATAAATATTTTTAAAATAAATTATTAATTAAAATATAATTCACCATTTCTCTAATTTTTTGCCAACCTTAACAAAGTCATATTCTTTTAAAATTATTGAGTCAGAGGAACCGATAAGCAACTCAATCAGAAAATTATTTTACTAAATTCGAATATCTAACGATTGACAACATTCATCAATCACGTGACTTTCAAGGTACCCTATATTTTTAATCTCTACAATTAACAAAAAAAATTATAAAAAACCTTTGGACGAAACTTTTTTAAAAGATATGATATTAATTGTAATAAAAATTGCAATAATAATAACTTTAGATATTATGAAAATTGTAATTGTAGAGACTACAGAAATTATAAAACTAGCAATTTTAGGGTCATAACTGTGAATCCCATGATAAGAAAAATGTTAGTAATAAAAATTTTAATAAATATAATAATAAAAATTATTATGAAAATATAAAATTAGATAATAAACATGATAAATAAACACATTACAATAAAAGAAATTATCATTATAATTGTAAATCTCATAGTAACAAAAACTTGAAAAATATTAAATTAGTACCAAATATTCAAATTGAAAGAGATTCTAATAAATTAAAAGAGATAAATTACATGATAAAATTTGAAATATTCGTGATTATAGAAAATAAGGAAATAAACATTAATGAAAACAATGAAATAAAGATTAGAGAAAATTATAAAATTAAAAAAAACTCTTATGTAATACTAAATGCGATAAAAAAAATTTGAGACTTATAATTTTGAACACAATTAAAGTATCACTTAAACGTCTTCATTCTGGAAAAATACTCAAAGATGTCATGAGAAGATCTTTTTCTAAAAATTTGAGGCTCAAGAAATTATTATTTACTAAAAGCAATCTTATGAATAATTATTATTTCAAAATACTTTTTAAATTAAAAAATAAGGGCATAAAGTTAAAATCTCTAAAGAGAGAGATGGATGTACAGACGTACATATCATCTTTTATAAAAAAAAATACCTATAATATAATATTGATTTTGTAAAAAAAATAAGCTTAATTAAAAATAAATATAAAAAATGATATATTATAAAAAACGCGGAATCAAAAAATAAATATAAAAGGAATGATATATTATGAAATCTATTTATAAAACGCAAAATTGAGAAACGTAAAACGCTATTATCTAAAACGCAATATATATAATATAAAATAAAAATAAAACGCGACCAATTATTTATTGTATTTCAATTATTCAATATTTGATAAATTTATTCTGATTCAATTATTCTTAATCAAATTCGATATTCGTTAAATTAATTCTATTTTGATTACTCGACGAATCTTATTCTATTACGACGTTATTCAACAATACCTACATTCTAAAATCATTCAAAATCTTCATATATATTTAATAACAAATAATGATAATAACAATTTTAAAAAATTGATAATGATAACCACTGAGATATGAAGCTTACGATTTAAACAAGCCAACGATTATGACGACATATGCAACAACTTGACAATCAAAATGATAAATTATTTGGACGACAAGCTTGCTAATGACAGCTCAAATGGATTATGGCAAGGCTTTTCAGAAAGGGGAATGTTAATCGAGATTGACTTTTTTAAATTTGTATAACTTAAATTGTTTTTATTTTAAACATGTTAGTCTTTAACCATGTATTTCGTTTAAATTGTTTTTTTATAATACATATATGTTAGCGGCAATGTGAAATATTCGGCAATGTATACATTGCCATTTTCGGCAATGTGAGGGAGTGATAGGCAGGGTAATTTTGTAATTTCAGCATAGTATACTTTATAAGAGGCAAAGTATACATTGCCGAAATAACCAGGCAATGTTGTTTTTCTATTTTACTAATTAATAAATTTATTATTTATTTGAGATTAATTTATTATTATCTAATATTAATTTATTATTATAAATTTATTTTATATTTTTTTTAAAATATATTTTAATTTGTTACAATTTTTTTTTTGATTGATATATTTTTTTTAATAAAACGTTATTTTTGAACTTTTTTAAGTTTTTTTAAAGTAAATAGGTAAAAATATGTTTTGTAAACATGTTAAATTAATATTTCAGTGAAAGTGTACTGTAGAAAAGTGACAATTGTCATAATCGTCATTTTTGAACTTTTTTAAGGTTTTTTAAAGTAAATAGGTAAAAATATGTTTTGTAAATATGTTAATTAATATTTCAGTGAAAGTGTGCTGTAGAAAAGTGACAATTGTCATAATCGTTATTTTTAATTTTTTTAAAGTATTTTTAAAATAAATAGGTAAAAACATGTTTTGTAAACATGTTAATTAATATTTCAAAAAAAAGTGACAATTGTCATAACCGTTATTTTTAAACTTTTTAAAGTATTTTTAAAGTAAATAGGTAAAAATATGTTTGTAAACATTTTAAATTAATATTTCAGTGAAAGTGTACTGTAAAAAAGTGACAATTGTCATAATCGTTATTTTTGAACTTTTTTTAAAGTAAATAGATTAAAATATGTTTTGTAAACATGTTAAATTAATATTTCAGTGAAAGTGTAATATAGAAAAGTCACAATTGTTATAATCGTTATTTTTGAATGAAAGTGTAATGTAGAAAAGTGACAATTGTCATAACCGTTATTTTTAAACTTTTTAAAGTATTTTTAAAGTAAATAGGTAAAAATATGTTTTGTAAACATTTTAAATTAATATTTCAGTGAAAGTGTACTGTAAAAAAGTGACAATTGTCATAATCGTTATTTTTGAACTTTTTTTAAAGTAAATAGATTAAAATATGTTATGTAAACATGTTAAATTAATATTTCAATGAAAGTGTACTGTAGAAAAGTGACAATTGTCATAATCGTTATTTTTGACTTTTTTTAAGTAAATAGATAAAAATATGTTTTGTATTTTAACAGTTTTATGGAAATGTTCTTATTCTTGTTAAAAACATTTCCCTTATTAGATGCATCTGTTAGAATTGAATATGGATCCCTATCTTTCAAATCGTCTAGAATTGAACCCTAGGATTCAGGTACTAATACACTTGTGATAGCCTCTCTTTTATTCTACCACAAGTAAGGTTTGCACTTATATTCGAGTCGTTAAATATCACGAGAAAAAGATTCGATCCACATTGTGATAATATAGCATTGTGAATATAGAACTACATGATAGATGTATACGATTTCCATAAATGTAGTAGCATCTGTATTATATTATTTGTGAATATTTTTGTATTGCAATCGATGTTGATATACTCCCCTTTACTGACTTATATGAAATGATATTGATTTATTATTGGAGAAAAATAAAACAGGATAGAAAAGAATTTACAAACTAGACATGTTTTTCGAATAAATATTTAAAATTATTTTAAAAATATAAAAATTATCAATTAATGTCTCTCAAAATTATTATTTATATATTAAAAATGTTAAAATGCTAAAAAAAAATTGAGGGAGAAATTAAAAAATTG